GTTCCCTAGAATGGTGGGTTAAACATTCGGAGAGCAGTCCAGCCGGTGTGGTTCAATGGTTGAGCATCGACCTATGAAACAGGATGTCATGGTTGAGCATGCACAAGCCCTGGTTGCATGCTCAATCCTCAGTAAGGGACATGCAGGAGACAGCCAATCAATGATTTTCTTTCATCCTTGATGTTTCTATCTCTCTCTCCCTCTTTGAAATCAATCTATATAATAAATGCCTAAGCGGCAGTTAAAGAGGAATAACCAGAATGACCAGTTGCTATAATGCACATTGACCACCAGGGGGCAGATGCTCAACGCAGGAGCTGCGTCCCCACAGGGGAGCACCACTCAGCCAGAAGCCAGGCTCACTGCTGGAGAGCGGTGCAGCGTTGGTGGCGGGAACCTTGAGCAGGCTAGCAGGCGGGCAATAAGGAGCAAGGGGTTCCAGACTGTGAGAGGGTGCAAGCCAGGCTGAGGGACGCCCCTCATCCCCTGTAACTCAGTTCACAAATTTCCTGCACCAGGCTTCTAGTAAAAATATATTTTAAAAAAACCACACACACAAAAAAAACAAAAACACCCACAGACATTTGGAGTACAAAGCCAGCAAAATTTCAAGCAATTGGCAGATTGAAAGGTTTTTTGAAGAAAATTAAAAAAGCAATCCTGTTTGGCCTTGGCCAGGTGCTCAGTTGGTTGGAGCTCTGTCCTGTACACCTGGTTAGTATGTGTATGGCAGGCAACCACTTAATGTTTCTCTTCCATACAATGTTTTTTTCTCTCTCTTTTTCCCTCTCCTCTCCTCTCCTCTCTTATGCTTATTCTTATTCTTATTCTTATTCTTATTCTTTTGCTTTCTCTCAAAATCAATATACATATCCTTGGGTGAAGCTATAAAAGAAATCTTGTTTGGGTTTTAAATACTCATGGTTGTTTACCTGCCCTAATCTATTCATCAAGGTTCCCACATGCACAGTTTTAAGGAACCTAGAGTTCAATTAAAAAAGAAAGCAAAAAAGAAAAGAGAAAATGAGAGGAGAGGAGGGGACAGGAGAGGAGAGGACAGAAGAGGAGACAAAAGACTCTTTTATTTTATGTTTTATTTTCTAAGGAGAAGAAGAAGGAAGAGGAAGGGGGGAGGAAAAAAGAAGAAGAATGAAGGTGGAATGGGAAGAACTGTTCCTAATCAGGAGGTAGATCTAGTAGTTGATACTAGTTCAGTGGTTAGATGATGCCATAGTAGATGATGCCATAAGAAACTCTATCTTCCTATTTCATCATAGTTAGTATTGGCTTCTTATCTGCATTATTGTTGCCTTATGATTGCAAGATGGCTTCTGCAGTCTAGATATCACATTCTTTTTCAAACTTTTTTTAAAAATGTTTTATTGCTTTAGCAATAACTCACCATTTTTTTTCTTTTTTAAAAAAATATATTTTATTGATTTTGTACAGAGAGGAAGGGAGAGAGATAGAGAGTTAGAAACATCGATGAGAGAGAATCATTGATCAGCTGCCTCTTGTACACCCCCTGCTGAGGACATGCCCGCAACCAAGGTACATGCCCTTAACCGGAATCGAACCCAGGACCCTTCAATCCCCAAGCTGACGCTCTATCCATTGAGCCAAACCGGTTTCAGCCTTTTTCAAGCTTTTATTTAATGCTTTAAAAATAACAAACATGTAACAAGGTACTTGGAACTTGTTCTTTTATAGAAACCCTGTCACACTGAGGAAGGTCATTCCCTTTGTAGTTGACTAGAGGCCCCGTGCACTGAATCATGTGCAGGTAGGGTCCCTAGGCTTAGCCTGTGATCAGGGACTGCCTGCTTGCCTGTCCCCAATCCTGCTCTGCCACCACCCCTAGTTCGCTGTGGTTCTCGATCACAGCATGGCTCTGCTTCCCAGGAGCCTGCAGGCCAGGGGGGAGAGCGCAAGAGGTCAGCTGTTCCACCCGCTTGCCAGTCTTGCCCCACCACCACTCTCTTGGTTTGCCGTGGTTCCCCATTCACCATGCTGTGATTGGAGCCTGAGGTGGGGTGGGGGGTCGGGAGAGGGGCAGGAAGGGATCGAGAGGTGGTCTATGCACCTCATAGCGACTGGTCCAGTGGTTGTTCTGATCATTATGCTTATGGTAGCTGGCCTTTTATTATATAAGATTAGAGCTTTTTTGTTTAAATCATGGATGAATGTTGAATTTTGTCAAAGATTTTTTTTTTTCTGGATTGATTGAGATTATATGAATTATATGAATTGCTTCCTTTATTCTGTTTATGTATTAAATGACTCAGATTGATTTTATAGTGTATTCCTTGCAAAAATCCCACTTGAATAAGCTATCTTACATTTTGTAGCTATTGCTGGATTTGATTTGCCAATATTTTGTTAGAATTTTTTAAAATATATTTTATTGAATTTTTACAGAGAAGAAGGGAGAGAGAGAGCTAGAAACGTTGATGAGAGAGAAACATCGACCAGCTGCCTCTTGCACACTCCCTATGGGGGAGTGCCCGCAACCAAGGTACATGCCCTTGACCAGAATTGAACCCAGGACCTTTCAGTCCACAGACCGATGCTCTACCACTGAGCCAAACCGGTTTCGGCTGTTTTGTTAGAATTTTTGCATCTGTATTTCTAAAGGATATTGACATATAGTTTTCTTTCTTTTTTTATTTCTTGGTGTCAGAATTATTCTGACCTTACATTATGAGTTACAAAGTGCCCCCTTCTCTATTTTTCTGAAATAATTTATGTAAGATAGGGAAGATTTCCTTCTTATGTAATTGATAATATTATATTTACTAGTGAAACCATCTGGGCCTAGAATTTGGTAGCAGGGGTAGGGTGAGGGGATCTTTAAAAACACAGGTCTTCTCAGGTTTTCTATTTCATCTAATGTCGATTTTGGGATATTATGTTTTTCAAATAATGTTTCCATTTTATATCTAAATTATTGATATTATCAGCCTAAAGTTGTTCATAATGTTTTCTTATTTGTTCAGTTTTGTAAGATCTGTAATGATGTTTCTCTTTTATTCTTGATATTTGTTATTTGTGCTTTCTTTCTTTTTTTCCTGATCAATGTCATTAGGAGTTTATCTATTTTATTAATATCTTCCAAGAGCTAACTTGTGGCCTATTAATTTTTCTTATTTTTTAAAATTATTTTCCTTCTACTCACTATAGGTTTAATTTGCTTTTTTTTTTTTATCCTAACTTAAGATGGAAACTCAGATAATTGATTTCAAACATTTTTCTTTACTAAAATATACTTATAACTCTATAAATTTCTTGATAAGTATTGCTTTAGCTGCATTTCATCATTTCATGAACTGTTATGTATTTCATTATCATTCTATTTGAAATGTTTTCTGATGCTCTTGGAATTGTGCCTGGCATAAAGCACTAAGTGGTATCTCTTATTATCTTAGTTTTTTGTTTCTCTTGTTAATAAGTGAGAATAAATTGGTGGATCACTCTGACAGTTCTATTCCTTTCCTTCTGAGCATCTGCTGTTTCTACTCCCTGAAGCAATACTCCTTCATATAGGCCAGTGGTCGGCAAACTGTGGCTCATCAGCCATATGCAGCTCTTTGGCCCCTTGAGTGTGGCTCTTCCACAAAATACCATGCCCTGGGCAAGTCTATTTTGAAGTAGTGGCATAGTTTAAGTTTAAAAACTTGGCTCAATTTCAATCATTGTACTGTTGATATTTGGCTCAGTTGACTAATGAGTTTGCTGACCACTGGACTAGACCACATGTGTCAAACACAAGGCCCGAGGGCCAAATCCGTCCCGCCAGGCCTTGCAATGTGGCCCGCACTGCGCTGTCATCACTGCACTCCGCTGCGTTTCCATCACAATGACAGTTTATGACTGTTCAGTAAACCATTCAGCCCACGATTTAGGCTGGATTTTAGATTTTGGCCCCTTCTCTGATTGAGTTCGACACCCCTAGACTAGACAGTTCCTGCAGCTCCTTTGCTGGAACATTCTGTGGCTTTATGATTGTAACGAGGAGCAATCATTTAAAAAAAAATAGTATTTGGTTCTAAAGCACAAGGTTCCTGGTCACTGCTAGTCCTTTTCCATGAAGAGTACCTGTATCCAGGGATGAAACATTACCTCAAGGAGATGACCCCATCTGATGTGGGACCAAGAAGGATTCTGCTTAAAATGTATAACTACTGGTTCTGTCCAAGCTTGTTCTACTTGACAAAAGTAATGGAGTAGATGTTTCTAGGACTCTACTTAAAAAATAAATAAATAAATAAAAAATCTATCTATCTATCTATCTATCTATCTATCTATATATATATATATTGTAGGTGGTTAGACTGGCTAGTCACTTTCTTTTTCTGGAAAGCAGTTCATTCACCTGTAACAAAAGAGGGGAAACAGGATAGAAGCTATGATTCTCAAGATCTCTTCCAGCTCTGTGACTTCAAGTAAGGTGTTTGTCACGCTACACAGAGAGGCCTTAAGTCTCAGGTCCTGGGTCCAGCTCAGGAACCAGTGCTGTTCACCTTTGCATGTATTGGGGCCATCTGTCTCCCCCAGAATAAGCGATTGGATGGGCAACTTTTGGCAAGAATGAGATCCTAACTCTTACTAATTATGTGAGCATTAAGAAATTCACTGAATGAGTTTGCGTCTTAGTTTCCCCATCTGTAAAATAGGGATAGCTCCTGGTAAAGTTGTAAAAATGTCAAGAGTTTTACAGAAATGCTTAGTTTTTGCTATGTTTCCAAAGTGTTCTTTTCCATCATCCTTAGAAGCACCAAGGAAAGATAACCTGCAGTGTCATAAGCACCACGCATCCCTCTGACAACCAGACCACCACTGGTGGTAAGGAAGCCACGGGGCCGACTACTTCCGGGATAGCCCTCTCCCACGCCGCCTGACGCAAGACAGCTCTGCACGTGACGCCAGCGCGCCAGGCGCAGGCTCCTCCCCCTGGTACAGGCCCCGCCCCCGGCGCGCGCGCTCCCGGCGCAGCGTGACGTACGCGTGACGCACGGCGGCGAGGCCGGCCGGCGGTGTGTCCCGGGGCAGGAGCGCAGCCTCCGGGAAGACGGTCGCGCGTGCCCGCTGCCGCCTCTCCGTTGGCGGCCGTGATGCGCTCCGCTCGCGGCTCCCCGCCCCTGGGACTCCCGGCCGCCGTGTCGGGCGCTGCGGAACGGGTGAGCGGCCTTCGCGGCGCGGACGTTGGGAGGGCGGCCGGCCGGCCGGGGCGGAGACGGTGCGACCGTGCGGTTCGGCGGGGCGACGAGGGCCCCGGACCTTGGGCGACCCCTCTGCCCGCGAGCCTCCGGCTCCTGCGGTCGGTCTTCCCTGGGTCCAAGCCGCCCCCGCAGCCCGGCCACATCCGGGCGCCCGGGCCGTCAGTGCCGGTGACCCGGGGCGGCAGGTGCTGTCCCCCGGCCCCCGGGAAGAGAAGCCGGGCAGGGAGCGGTGGCGCCAGTTGCGGTGACCGCACTGGGTTTTCCTGTTACACGTAGCGGGGGCCGGTCCGGGCACCCCGGGGAGGGACCTGGCCCGGGCACCCGGGGAGGGACCTGGCCGGGAGCAGGGATGCTGCACCGAAGACCCAGCGGCTCTCGCCCGTCACCTTGTCATTATATTGACAGACACGTCCAGCCTAGTTTTTTGCTTTTATTACATTTCATGCTTTAGATTTCCCCTTGAAGTAAAAGATGGAACGAATGGAGCAATAAAGTCTTGATGAGACCAATGTTTCTCAGTCATAGTAATGTGTGGACACCTTTTTTTTTTTTTTTTTTTTTTTTTTTTTAAAGGAACAGATGATTCTCTTATTCTCTAGAGTACGGTGTCCCTGAACCCAATGAGAGGAACACTGGTGCAAAGCAAAAAAAGAGATGCTTTACAATTCAGCAGCTTCCGTGCTAAAAGATAAACGAGGGGTTATTAAAGAGTTCCAAATTGGTGACTCCAATCCCTAGTTTAATTTCACTTTGCCGTTTTGCTTGGGCCCTTCCTTGGATAATGATAGCACCTAATTCTCCAGCCTTGAAAAGACTTAAAAGAATCACAGTCTTTGTGATATATTGGATGTCACCTTTTCTTTGTATCAAGTTTGTTAATTGCTTGACACATTAGCAGAGTTATAAAACAAAATACTGATTTGTATAAGTAGTTTATGTCTGTGTTTAACTTACCATTAATTATCACTTATATTTGTTGCTAATGGGAATGCATGATCTCAATCCTTGTATACAGTCTAGAAAGAAAGAAGGAAAAAAATGTGTGTTTCCTATATATTTAATCAGCATGCTTTTAAAAAAAATGAACCAAGTTTCAGAGTGTGGGAAAACAATAGAAAGTACAACAGTTTAAGTCTTTGCAAAGAAAAATATTGACCTGTGCCTTGAAGGAAGTACGATGTTGAGAGCAGGACATCGTATGAGGAAGTGATATTAAAGGGCCAAGGCAAGCATGAAAACAGCTTGCGTGGGAGAGAGGAGACCCACCTCACTAGGGCAGAAAGAGGTTATCTGTGGCCGAGGCGAGAAAAGGTTGGTGAAATAAGATGGGGTCAGTTGATGAAAAGTTGCTGTCGACCCCATGGGGTCCAGAAAGTTCTAGAGCTGGTTATGTTTTGAAGGTGGTGTTTCACAGAGTTTCTGAAGGCTGGTGTTCACAGTGAAGGTGGAAGGTGAGTGGCCTGCCTAGAGACCTGTGGTGGGTCCTGTGGTCATTTTTGATGTGTGGATTTTTTGAGGCAGAATTGATAGCACACAGATATGTGGGAATCAAAGCTAAGAACCAGGTGATACCTCTGGTCAATGGTGATGCCTCTCTTAGATGTGGAAGGCTTGAAAGGTGGTGTTAATTTGTGTCAAAAGATTGTGACCAGAGGCTCAGACTAAATGGATTTATGATAATAGCCATTGGTGAGCTCAGGATGTGGAACTGAAACTTGAGGAAAGTCAGACTTGCAGATGTGGGAAACGACAGAGGTGGTTCAGAAAAAGTGTGACCAGAAAAAGATCTCTTAAAATGGGGACATTTTAAATTTAAAAATCAATGCTAAAGAAAATGTAGATGCTAATGCAGCTTCATGCATTCTTCTTAAAACAAAGAATGAATCAGGTTCTTTTGATGTCTTTTCCCCACAACTGAGTGCACTGAGTATCCTTCACTTCACCTTCCTTTCACTCTCACAAAAATTCTTCCTTGTAAGCTCTAGTATTCACATCATTCCTTTTTAAGCACCCTTCCTGTCATTCACCTTTGCTTACTCAGAGGTCTAGCTCTTCCAGAGTCTCATTTGTCTATGATTTTGGTTGCATGTGATTTGAGAGTTTACTGATACCTGTTTTATTGCATCTTTCACCACAGGAACCATTTCACTTTGCAGTTAATGAATATGGTTTTCAGTGTGTGTGTTTTGTTTTGTTTTTTCAGTGAGAGAGATGGGTTTCTCTGATGATAAGTCTAACATAATTTAGGCCTTTTGAAAACGTGGCATTTTTATGTAATAATAGAGGCCTGGTGCACAAATTCATAAACCAGTGGGATCCTTCAGCCTGGCCTGTGGGATCGGGCCAAAACAGGCTGTCCGACATCCCCTCAGGGGTCCCAGATTGTGAGAGGGAGCAGGCCAAGCCAAGTGCATGATCAATCAGGGCCAGGGAAGGACACAGTAGATTGGCCAGCCGGAGGGCTCCAGGGCTTGTCTGGCCCATCTCACTTAGTCCCGATCAGCCAGACCCCAGTAGCAAGTTAACCTACCAATCATAGCATCTGCCCCCTGGTGGTCAGTGCATGTTATTTCAAACGGTTTAGCAGCCTTAGCATATCATTAGTATATTATGTTTTGATTGGTTGGATGGCACACCAGTTGACCAGACACTTAGCATATTAGGCTTTTATTACATAGGATTAATAAGACTTTGCCTCCCTAAACTTTAGTGCCAAGATTCTTAGCTGCAAAAACAATAGGAGTTAAGATCAACTTATCATATTGTTGATTGATGGGTAATATTCAGCCATACTTTTTTCCTAAATAAAAGTAATTATTTCAGCAACTTATAAGCTGTTCTATTTTCTGTCTTTAAACACAAGTTTTGTAACATAGAAAAATACCTATTTATCCTCTTAAAAATCCTCACATCTCAAAAATAAGTCCTAAGACAAACACTAGATTAAATAACATTTACTAAATTTGCTATGATCATACTAACAGTGCATTTTCTCTTTTGAAATGTATTCTCTATCCTCCCCCATCTATAGTTGGCCCCTGACTCAGGAAGCGGTTCCTGTTCACCTGCCTTCCTTGAGTTCTTCTCTGAATTCTGTTAGTCCGAATAATTTAACTTTGTCTTTTGTTGTACTCTTGATTATTTCCTGGGTATTAGTATTATCCTGTAACCAGTTTGCAAACTCCTTGAAACTAGAGTCAGGTTGTTATTCCTCAGGACCTTTTAGAGTGCTCATCATTGAATCATTCAAGGCTTTCCTTCCCCCAAGGACCTTGACTTTAGACTTTTAACTAAAGCATTCTTTTTTTTCTTTCTTTCTTTCTTTAGTTCAACTATCACACACAGAAATGTTTAGATCAGAATTCCTGTGTCATGAAGAATTTTTAAACTAGGTTTTCTTGATCTTCCCAGAAGAGGATTTGATGCTGGAAACGGAAGATATCAGTCAAAGGTAGCTTGTTTAAATAGTTCTGTTGTTTCTTCTAATGATAAAATTACTATGTGCCCTTTTTAAAATATAGGCAAGCCTAGGGGAAAAAATAACGATGATCCATTTCTCACTACTCAGAAATATTAACCATTGTTAACATTTTGGTTTCTCTCCTTCCATTTTGCCCTCTCTTATACATGGTGTTTGTTTTCACTGAATATATCATGGACATCTTTTCCATGTCAATAAATATGGATCTGCACCATCACCTTTAATAGCCACATTGTACTCTGTTTCATAAATGGGCCATGTTTAACTTAACCCACCCCTGTAATACACATTAGTTTAGAAACAGTGTTTTGCTATTATGCACAATACTATGATGGGTGCATAGTTTTGCCCTATTGTTTTCTAAGTATGAATTTCTGGATGGGTGAGAGGTTGTACAGAGGGTAAGTGTATTAAAAATGGTCATATCTGTTAACCAGTGTCCCCTTAGAAGGTTAGTGCCTCAGAAGGTTAGTGCCTACTTAGTTCTCCCTAGCTGCATCCATGACTTTTCTCCCTCCTCTTTGTTGGTATCCTTAGAAATACAAATGAAATTACTTTTATCAACCATTTGTATTTCTTAGTTCATTAATTTCCAATTATCCTTTCTCACTTGTCCCCGTATTTCTCTTACGTGTTTATGTTATGAACTTTTTATATGTAAGGGCTATTTACCTTTTGTCATACATGATGTAAATAATTTTCCCAAGCCTTATGTATTTGGGAAGGGATTTTTATTTTTAAACATACAGAAGTCTTAAACTCATGTGTAGATGTGTTTTCTTTCATTTAGGTTTGAGACACTGTTATTGTAGAAAAGCCTTAGCCATTCCAAGATTATGTAGTAATCGTACATTTTAATGGATGTTTAAAATATGAGATGTTTGAGTCATTGAAATTCTAATAAAGGTATATTGTAGTAATTTCACTATAGTCAAATGCTAAAAGGTAGCTACTTTACAAAAACATTAAAATTCCTTTAAACACCTAGGTCAGCAAACTGCGGCTCACAAGCCACATGCGGTTCTTTGGCCCCTTGAGTGTGGCTCTTCCACAAAATACCATGGCCTGTGCGAGTCTATTTTGAAGAAGTGGCGTTAGAATAAGTTTTTAAGTTTAAAAAATTTGGCTCTCAAAAGAAATTTCAATCGTCATACTGTTGATATTTGGCTCTGTTAATTAATGAGTTTGCCAACCACTGACCTAGGTAATTGACATATTTTTCCTTTTTGTGTTAAATTTTAGGTCACAAATATTATTTGTCCTAAGTTTGAGTCTATGGGACAATGTGGACACCATATTAAAACCTGAACTAATTAAAATGATTTTTAACTTTTGTTAGGCCTTATCACTGTGTGTGTGTGTGTCTGTGTGTGTTTTCCCCTCTCCTGCATTAGAAATTTAAGGTCTGGATCCATGTCTTTTTCATCTTTGCATCTCCCATTCCCAGCCATCCGTGGCACAAACAAGGTTGTTGGTCACTTGTGTGATGGGCACTGGTCACTGGAGAAACAGAAGAGTAAGTGGCTGTCCCTGCTGAGAAAGTCAGCCAGCCACAAGTATAATAAATACTGCAGCCCACTACTGTGGTGAGCAAATACTCTGGGGATGAGAGGATTGGGGAAGTCCCCCCAGAGGAATCATGCTTGACTTGTGTCACTAAGATTACAGAGGAAAGCCAACAGGTGGGCCCCAAAAAATCATTCTACAAATGCAGAGGAATGCAGGACCTTGCAGCTTGTGTTTAAGATGGCCGGAGCATAGGGTACATATCTGTCTGTCAGGGGATAAGACTAGAAAGATAGGGGCTAGATTAGTGCTAATGCAGAAGCTACACGCTCAGAATAAAGCCTTTTTAACAGCTTCAGTGCATAGATCATGTACCAGATTATGTGTGGTGGGATTTAAACATACAGTTTATAAAGAACATAGACGTTTCTTGGATTGTGCTATCTTTGTGACTTTTCTTACTTCCTGAAACAGGAGGGTTCTGATTCTGGGAGGACACGTTGTTGCTGTAATAGTGGTTGAAGACTGACTCCCAGAACATTGCCTGACCTCTGACGTGTCAGCATGGGGAGGTGAGTGACGGTGCCTAATCACTGCAGTGGAAGCGCGGGATTTTGGTGCCACAGAAACAGATTGTGACGGGGAGGAGGAAATAAATCCTAAGTGAAAAGTGTTTAAAGTGGTGCTACGCTTCCGTTTTACACCGTTGTTCTTTCAGGGCCCATGGGCATCTGTCACAGAAAGAACGCGATAATGCCAGGTGGGCTCTGCAGGAGTTAATGTAGCTTACCGTAAAGGGTATGTTGTGCTGGAATCTGCAAGGGATTGTATTAAGCACTGTGCCGTGCCAGCACAGCCAAGGGTTCAGCGAGCCTGAGGGAGGGCCATCAAAGGATGAAGAAAAGACAGACAAAAAGAATAAGCTGGGTCTAGGTGGATTTTCTGTGCCTGGCAAAGGCCACAGAGAAAAGATCCAGAGGGCAAGCTGTGCTTTTATTTTATAGTCAGAGGTAAACAAGGTAGTGGTCACCATAGTTACAATTTTTTTTTGAGTTTCACTTGTTTTGGCAGCACTTGCTGCTCCTCCTACAGCCCATTAGCTACTCAGGAAGGATCTAGGGAGCTTCATAAGGTCAAGCTTAATTATGCTAAGAGGGCTGTGTCCTGTAAGCTGGGACTTGTTTGTGGCTTTGCCAGCAGGTCAGTCCGAGGCTTAACCCTATAACCGCTCTCTACAAAGTACAGGATAACTGTCTCTAAGCCTCAAAGGGGATGATAAACTCCATGGACTGGCCCAAGAACCCAAATGCAGACTAGAAACTACAAATGGAAATTTCCATTGGGTTGGTAAGATACCTCACTCTTCTGTGAGTCCATGAAGCACTCTTTAAAGGAGAGAGTGTAGAAATTAACTGGAAAACAATAAAATTTATCCTAAAGTTAACAAGTTTTTTTTAAGCCTACTGAAGCCTCTCATTTCTGACATAAACTGAGAAGTGTTTATTTGCAAAAATGTTTCAGGAATATTTCCAAAAACACAGGACATATATACACCGAGTGGCCAGATTTTTATGATCTCTGAACGTATAATAATCTGTCCACTTAGTGTATGTATGTATATGTGTATGAATTTGTGCATGGGTGGGGTTTGGCAATGGGAGAGGGGACATGGGCAGTTGGCTGGCCTGCCTGCTGGTTGAACCCTTGGTGGAGGGGACAATTTGCATATTAGCCTTTTATTATATAGGATATACACTGAGTGGCCAGATTATGCGTTCAGATATCATAATAATCTGGCCACTTAGTGTAGCTCACTTATTTGCATTGTTATGGGGATGTTGCTAAAGATATTACTTTCTCACTTAATCTTCATGGAGAGATTTGCCTTGGAATTCAGTGTTAGGAAAAATCTTACTCCTTTTAAGATATTTATATGTTTTTAATCTAATGGACAACATTATTGGCCATGAGGATGCTCTGCCACCATTTAAGACCTACCTTATTACCTGCATTCGTATTACTAAATTGTCTTGATTTCATCATCCTTAAGCCTGATTGTGTTTTAGATTTATTTATGTTATTGAACTTATTCCTGTAAGCTGTCTCTAATTTTTTAGAACAAAGCAGGGTTCAGATAATAATCTATATCACATGTGTCAAACACAAGGCCCGCGGGCCAAATCCGTCCCGCCAGGCCTTGCAATGTGGCCCGCACCGCGCTGTCATCACTGCACTCCGCTGCGTTTCCATCACAATGACAGTTTATGACTGTTCAGTAAACCATTCGGCCTGCGATTTAGGCTGGATTTTAGATTTTGGCCCCTTCTCTGATTGAGTTCGACACCCCTAATCTATATAATTCTCTCAAGAAAGGGAGGAAAACACAGAAGTATCCTAACCATCAATATTAATTCTCATTCATATAATTTTATAATACAGTCATGTGCTGCTTAGTGACAAGGATATTATCTGAGAAATGCATCGTTAGGCAATTTCATCACTGTGCAATCACAGAGTGCACTTACACAAGCCTGTATGGTATGGCCTACTATATACCTATCCTGTTGCTCCTAGACTACAAGCTTGTGTGTCACTACAACACAACACACAATTAAATCAGGCACAAGATAAGATGATGCATTCAAGAGATGCAGTAAGCAGGAGATATATGAGGATGTTGTCCACATAACATGAGATACTGTTTTACAGCAAGTTTGTTTTTTTTCATAAGTACTAGGAAGTACTCTCTGAAGTAATGATAAAACATATAGTATGTTAATACATAAACCAGTAACAGTCATTTCTTATCATTATCAAGTATTATGTGCTGTGCACAAATGTATGTGCTTCACTTTTATATGATTGGCAGCACAGTAGGTTTGTTTACACCAGAATCACCACAAAGGTAAGTAATGTGTTCCTGCGCTATGACGTCACTGGTGATGGGACTCAGCTTCATTATCATCTGTGGGACCCCTGTCATATGTGCAGTCCGTCATTGACTGGAACATCTTCATGCAGCACATGACTAATGAGTTATGTAGCAAAGCAGTAATATGGAAAGTGCTGGTATACAGATGCCTATCGGCAGGGAAGTCGGGGCAGCTCACACTGAATGTCTTGTTTCGGATCAGTTTAAGTGAAGGGGTCTTCTTTGGAGCAGAGTGCTTTAAAATCTGTTTTTTTGTTTGTTTGTTTTTTGGAATTTCAGACTTGGCATCTCCTGTCTTTTTCCTGCTTCCTGGCATTTTAGCATCTCTCCAGTGGGATGTCCTCGAATTTTGAATACCAATGTACGCCAAATTGTTGTTATTAGTATTCTGGCTGCTGCTGTTTCACTTTTATACTTTTCTGTTGTCATAATCCGAAATAAATATGGGCGACTATCCAGAGACAAAAAGTTTCAAAGGTAAGAGAAAACAAACCATTTATTTTCTAGATGGGATGCCACACCTTCATTTCATGGCTTCAAGACTTTGGGATTAGGTGGTCTTTAAGGAGCCTGTAGCTATAGGAAACAGATGCTGCACTGATTACAGCTGGCATGAAAAATTCAACTGTCTGAAACTGTTTAATCATTAACCACCAAATCCTCCTCATAAGAGGATTTAATGTAAGCTTCTCCTGTGATATTGTTTAAGCTGATTTTTCAGTTAATATTGATAGTTGGGAAGTAATTTTGCTTTTCAGAACTGGTTTGAACTTCTTTAAAGGAATAATTAGTGTATCTGATTTAGATAATCTTTATCACCATTACTTATTTTCCTTTGCCTGATCATTTGGCAGTTGTAAAAATGTTATATTGCTGTCATTGCACTTAGAAATCACTGACTTGGTGTTTGTTTATTGAGCTTACTCCTTTAGGTTTAAGTATATGTTTCAAAAGTATATGTTTGTTGTTCTAAACTAGGTACTTGGCACGAGTCACTGACATTGAAGCTACAGACACCAATAACCCCAATGTGAACTATGGTATCGTGGTGGACTGTGGTAGCAGTGGGTCTCGAATATTTGTCTATTGCTGGCCCAGGCATAATGGCAATCCTCATGACCTGTTGGATATCAGACAAATGAGGGATAAGAACCGAAAGCCAGTGGTTATGAAAATAAAACCAGGTATGTAAGAGATAAATATCTGACTGATACACAGGTTCTGTCCTTTCATTTTCTGTGAAGTTTCACGTTTTCCTTTTCTCTCATAGCAGGACCCAATTGTTCTCCTTGTTTTACGTTTTCCACTTCCTTTATTTTTTTCTATCCTTGCATAAGGAGACTAACACCTTAATAAAATATACAAACACCATGCCTTTCTTTTGTCTCTGCAGCATTTACCTTATTCATGGTGTCCAGTCAAATGTTTGCTAATTGACATTAATTATGAAGGACTAGAGGCCTGGTGCACAAAATTCATGCATGGCTTCAGGTGTCCCTCAGCCCGGCCTGCACCCTCTCCAATCCTGGACCCCTCAGGGGATGTCCAACTGCCTCTCCAATCCGGGAACTCTGGCTCCTAACTGCTCGCCTGCCTGCCTGCCTGATTGCCCCTAACCCCTCTGCCTGCCTACCTGATCACCCCTAACTGCTCCCCTGCTGGCCTGATCGCCCCTAACCACCTCTGCCTCGCCCTGCATCTGGGACCCAGGATTCCCTCCTCTGGCTCATCACAGGCACCTGAGCCCCGAACTTCCCTCCCTTTGGCTGGCTGCAGGCACCCAAAACCCAGGCCAGCTTCACAGGGCCAGCCACAGCCACTGGGGACTTTGAGGAGGTGGCTTTTCCTGGGCTACAACCGCAGGTGCTCAGGACCATGGAGTGGGCAGGCGGCTTGTCCCTCCCCTGGGCCGCAGGCGCAGGCGCAGCTGCTGGCACCCGGGACCACAGGGTGGGTGGCTTATCCCTCTCCCAGGCTGCAGCCTGGCTGGTCCCCATTCCTCTCTCCACAGTATTGAGTGTCTGAGCAGTTCTGGTGTGATGGCATGAGGGCATGACAAGCATTTGCATATTAGTTCTTTATTATATAGGTTTTTATTTTTCCTGTTGTGTAGTCATTGGTCTCGCTCATGAATGACAAGGCAATTTTAGATAATCATAAAAATCTGTACTTGAAGTAATACATTAGTATATGTTTGTCATTTTAAAAATTGCTGCCCCAATTTAATAAGGATGATTATCTAGATTATTTAATAAGGATGACCATAAAACATAGAAGAGCTGGATTTCATTATGTCCAGTTTTTATTTTCATAAATCTTCACCCGAGGATATTTTTTCCATTATTTTGTGTGTGTGTTTTTTAAGAGAAGGGAGGGGGGTGGGGAGACATTGAGAGATACATTAATTGGTTACCGCCTGCACACACCCCAACTGAGGTCAGGAATCAAACCTGTAACCCAGGTACATGCCCCTTGACCAGGAATAAAACTCAAGAGAGACTCTTCAGTTCATGGGCCAATGCTCTAACCACTGAGGAATACTGGCTAGGAATATGTCCAGTTTTTAAAGATATACAATTTCTAAGTCTGTGAGTTATAGAAAAATTGAGATGTGCCTTCTGTGCCTTCTCGGTTAGATAATTTACATAATAATTCTCAGCCTTTTTTTTGTACCTGTATAATTTACACAGGCAGCGCTCTTCTTCAGTAACACTAGGAATGGAAGGGTCAGGACCTTGAAATAGGCATCTTATGTCTTGATAGTTGATAATCACTGATTTAATACAGTGAACCAAAGACACTAGAGATTCAGTCCTTTAATTTCTTCTTGTCAAATATGTTAGATGGTAAAATATTAAATCCAAACAACCCAAGGAATTCATTTTTTAAACTATATTGAATGTTGATAAAAATAATTATCATAGTCATCTCCTATTTCAAAAGTGAAAAGGAGCTTCAGTTTTGTTTTTAACTTTATTGATTTAAGAGAGAGACAGAGAGACAGACATTGGTATATTGTTTCACTTATTTATGCATTCATTGGTTGCTTCTTATATGTATTCTGACCAGGATTGGATCTGCAGCTGTGGTGTACCCGGATGAGGCTCTAACCAGCTGAGCTACCTGGCCGGGAGGGACCTTCAATTGTAACATAGCAGAATATCTGTCCTCATAAAATGGTTCCTAATTACATAGACTCTAAGGCCCTTTGAGTCCTACTTAATTCTCCATTGAATAATTCAGGCCCCACTTCCTTCTGTAGGCAACCGTCAAACAAGTTATTGTCCTTGATGTTTGGGCATCTGGGCACCAGGATAGTGCTCTGAAAAGTCAAAATCTCTACTTCATTTTTCAGGATAAAGAGAAGGAACTTAATCTGAGTCTCTTGCAAGCATTATTTTGAATCAGGGTACATTTTTGTTAACAAAGATCGTTTTTCTCTCTAAACCTTAGTGGATGACTTTTAATTTTTTCTTTTCTATTTTTCCACTCCTGAAATTTTTTTTTTTAATATATATTTTATTTATTTTTCACAGAGAGGAAGAGAGAGGGATAGAGAGTTAGAAACATCGATGAGAGAGAATCATCGATCAGCTGCCTCTTGCACACCCCCTACTGGGGATGTGCCCGCAACCAAGGTACATGCCCTTGCCCGGAATCGAACCTGGTACCTTTCAGTCTGCAGGCCGACGCTCCATCCACTGAGCCAAACCGGTCCCGGCCCACTCCTGAAATTTTTATATATTCCTAATCTAGAAACATTTTTAGTGTTAAAGTAATATTGATCAAATGAAAAATTCACCAGGATTTTAAAAACAAACTAGATAGCACTTGTTATAGCTTGAAGTGGACAATCAAGAACCTTTTTATAGCTCATCTCTACCTGGAAGCATGGTCTCTCGTGTATAGCATTACAGCAACAGTTATCTGGCTGGGTCCACAAATTCCTACTCTGTGAAATAAGGAATTTTTGAACTTCTGAAATTCCCTTCATCTTTAGTACTGTAGGCTCACTGGCAGGAATATTCACTACTTATGTATTCATTCAGCAAATATTTGCTGAGCACCTACTATTTTCTAGACACTACGTTAGTGCTAAGAATATAAATTTGAACAAGACACAGTTTGTGCCCTTGAGAAATTTCCAGTTGAAATGAGACAAGGATGTTAATAGGTAATTTTGATAAGGTAATGAATGCTTCGACTAGAGGTAAAGGTAAGCCTAGAATGTAAAGAGAGCTCATCTTCAGGGATCTGCTGGTGCAGAATTCAGTAGAGGAAGTAGCTCTGGATGAGGAGGAGTTAGAAGATGAAAAAGAGTGGGAAGTGGGTAGGGAGGGAAAGGGAAGGCTATTCCTGGTGGGGGTTCATCAGCCATAAAGCCAGCATATGGTATAGAAATTTTATTCAGTGTAGTTGAAGCCAAATGGAAGGAATATGGGAAGAGACAGGATGGGTGAGTGGGCAGGGCAGGCTGTGCCATTCTAGAGTTGAACTTTATCTGGAGGGCATTGAGGAGCCCAAAAAGGATTTTAAGCCAGAAAGAGACCCCTTTTTCATAGGGTACGGTCGGGGAATTTCAAGACTGGACAGTAGGATGTATAGGCTGGCTGAGGGGGGTATTCAGAAAAGATGAAGAGAAGTGAAAAAATGTGAGAGGAAACAAGGAGATGCAATGGATGAAACCCAGAATACATGTTGGGATGAGGGAGAGGGATTTTACTTAGGATATCAGGGTGGGCCACTGGATGGCTAGTGATAGTGGTTACTGAGGTGAGTAACAGGCAGTAAGAGCAGGTTTATTGTTCAGATTTGAGTTGTGAGAGGGTTGTGAGCCTTGTTCACCAGGCAGTAAGCACACACTGATCTGCAAATTGGAGAAGAGATCTGATGGTGGTGCTAACCGGGAGAGAGGAAGGTGGGAGCTCGTTTCCCATGGGCAGCAATGAGCTCCTGTGGAATCAACTCTAAGTGTCTATACAGATCTCGGTTAGGTCTGTGATTTTTGATGAGTAAGAATAAGAGAATAAGGGCTAAACGTTTAGTACCATCATTTGAGAAAGGGAAACGGAAAGGTGTTTCCAGAGAGAGAGGAAAAAAATAAGGAAAGAATGCTGTATAGCTTGAATTTCTCTCCAATCAGCCACATTAAAGAAGTATAACTTATTAGCTGAAATATCTGCTTGTTAACAGAGGTGTCCTTTTTCTGTAGGCATTTCAGAATTCGCTACCTCTCCAGAGAAAGTCAGTGATTACATTTCTCCGCTCCTGAACTTTGCTGCAGAGCATGTGCCACGGGCAAAACACAAAGAAACCCCTCTCTACATTCTTTGCACAGCTGGAATGAGGGTCCTTCCTGAAAGGTGAGGGCAGTCCAGGCCTGTGGTGGTTTATTTTCCTCCTCATTTCCCTCCTCTCTCTTTCCCTCTTCTGTTTCCTCCTCATCCATTATCACCACCAAAATGAAGATACACAAATTCCTTTTTTCAAATCTGGAATAATGCCAGAACTATTTCCTAGCTAGAATTCACCAAATATTTTTAATATATTTGTTTATGACTGTAAATAGTAAATTATAAAGTTGTCATTTAAAAAATTTATTTTATATGTTATTAGTTTAAGGATTTGTAGTTTTACTTATATCTAAGAATCACATAATATATACAACTCTTGAAAATTCATTCCTAAAATTAACAATCTTTTCAACGAATTGCTTTGGTTTTAAACTTTATATAGGATATACCAAATCCATAGTGGGGAGGGGTGTTCCTTTTTTAAAAGCAAAAATTCAGTATATCATGTTTAGATATGTACAATTTTGGATTGTCTTACAGCCAGCAGAAAGCCATCCTGGAAGACCTTCTGACTGATATCCCCGTGCATTATGACTTTCTGTTTTCTGACTCTCATGCAGAAGTGATTTCAGGGAAACAGGAAGGTTGGTATATTGGTCTTCACTTTGAAATTTAGGAAACTTGCTTTAAATTTTCCCTTTCCCACTGTGTATACTATATTAAATTACTTCTCATATCTTAAAATTTGGAAAACCATGGCTTTGAAATATTATTAATTTTTAAATGTTTAAATTATTTTCTTACATGGCTGGCCTTTATTATCCAAACATTAAACTATTGCAAAAATAATTTAGTTTATCTTCACCACATGTAGGAAATTAATTTTAAACTCCTTTTGATAGAAAAGTTTTGTGCTCCTTTCCTAAGATACACAGCTTTCTGGAATTATGATCATTATTGAGCTATTGGAGCCTTCTATTGATTTTCTCTCTAGAAAAGAGAAATTACTCTTGACTTTGATACACTGAGAAAATATTAGTTCTGTTTTCAAAGAAATTATTTCTTTGAGAATTAAATGACTCGTCAGTGACATTTGTGTAATATCAATAGCTTATTAGAAATGGAAATTAAAAAAACATTTCTTTCAAAGTCATCTATTATTTTTTAGCATCTCTATGAAAGACACTGTAGAGAATATAGAATTGGGTGAAATACAGACATTGCCATTGTTATGTTTACAAGCAAGAGAGGTACACAGTTAACTGCTATATGAGTTACAGTTTTAGATACCTTAAGGACAGTAAGGGAAAAATATCATGGGAATTTGAAAGAGGGAGACTTTTTATTTCTAGCTAAGGGCATCATGGAGAAAATGGCATTTGAACTAATGAGGTAGTTATAGCATGCCAGAGCATGGAATAGGTAGGGCTCTGAGAGATACATTCCAGGCAGAAGAAATTGTTTGAGTCAACACAGGTTGAAAAAGCTGAACTATAGACAGAGGTACAGATAGGTTTGACTACATTATGGTCCCTTTTGAAGGTGTTAATAATAGAAACATTTGGACAGATCTTGGTGACATCATCGCCATGGCAGCGTGAATCATTCCTTCTTTCTCTCCCATTTGATTAATAATCAGACATTTAAAACAACATACACACACCTCTGCATAGCACATGAGGGCAGCTGAAAGACATCTCATCTGTCCACCAGAAAGTGGGTGAATTGGATCCTAGAGGAGGCTGTGGAGCCAGGCGAGTAGTGGCAGGGCACGTGCAGCAGGCCAGGACCAGCTTTCTGGCAGAGCAGGTGGAGGATGCAGATGGTGAGTGAGGGTCTGTCTGGCTGTGCTGCTGCAGCTGGAGGAACCTGTTGTTGTCTCTGAGAAGACATCGCAACGACTGGGGAAGGGAAAAGGCAAAGGAAAAAAGATTACCCGTGGACATCTGAGACACCCCTCATTCAAGGATACCCGTCTTTGTTCTGTGGACACACCGAAAGCACCAAGTGCTAAGCACACACTTCCTCTAACTCAGTGGTCGGCAAACTGCAGCTCGCGAGCCACATGCGGCTCTTGGCCCCTTGAGTTTTTAGCAAAGGCCAGTTTAGGAGTACCCTAATTAAGTACCCTAATAACAGTGTACCTACCTATATAGTTTAAGTTTAAAATTTTGACTATCAAAAGAAATTTTAATCACTTTACTGTTGATATTTGGCTCTGTTGACTAACGAGTTTTCAGACCACTGCCCTAATTCAGTGGCCACTCTTCTTCAGTCCCCCTCCATCAGTTTTTTTCTTTCTTTCTTTTTTTTTTTTTTTTTTTTTTTTTATGAGCATGCTGCCAACATTCCAAGCTCTGGTAAGAGAAACCAAAAACTTGTGCTATATTGCCACCTTCTGGAAAATAAAAGAAAGCACCCTACTTAGGAACTTGTTAAATTGTTAAAATCAAGATGGTAATGAAAACGGGTAAAGATTGGATGTAGGCAGTGTTGTAAAAGAGAATCAGGTGTTGCAGTGAGTGAAAGTAAGAGGTAAAGGGCCAAAACCGGTTTGGCTCAGCGGTAGAGCGTCGGTCTGCGGACTGAAAGGTCCCAGGTTCGATTTCGGTCAGAGGCATGTACGTTGGTTGCGGGCACATCCCCAGTAGGGGTTGTGCAAGAGGCAGCTGGTCGATGTTTCTCTCTCATCGACGTTTCTAGCTCTCTATTTCTCTCCCTTCCTCTCTGTAAAAAAAATCAATAAAATATATTTAAAAGAAAAAAAAAAGAGGTAAAGGAAACGAAAGAGTCAAAGTTAACTTGTTCTAAAACCTTGCAATTGATAGGTTTAACTTCATAAAGTAAAATAAAAACTCCAGTATTTGAAAACAACCTATAAATTTCTAAGGAAACTTAGCCTCTAGGAGTTATATTTTCAACCTATGTAAGTGATATGAAACTATAAATTTTAAACTAGGGTTTTATTATAAAGCCATTAGAAAAAGATAAAATACATAGCAGAAGTGTGTTATTTCAGATGATGTTTTCAGGGAGTAAAATAAATGAGATGTTTGCACAGACAGTATTGATCAGAGTTATACAAAGTATTTTAAAACTATTCTTATCTTTACTCTGTGTAATGTCTACAGGTGTGTATGCTTGGATCGGCATTAATTTTGTCCTCGGACGATTTGAGCACATTGAAGATGGTAAGTATCATGTTCCCAACTAATGCGTATAACTGGAAACTATGGCTTTTTCTGTGTAGTGTAAAGGATAGAAAGGAGCTAAGTTCGGTGACACAGCTGAGTGAGGGTGGGATGAGAGGAGTTGCTGTTTTCCACAGCTTGATTTTCATGGGGAGAGGAGACTGGGTTTGCCTAGAAATGTTTGAAACGTAGCCTCTTGCGAAGATTGCAGTTCTGGGTGTGTTCTGCTCCAATCGGTGTTTCTCATGCTTCCAGATGACGAGGCCGTTGTGGAGGTTAACGTTCCTGGAAGCGAGAGCAGGGAAGCCTTTCTCCGGAAAAGAACTGCCGGTATTCTCGACATGGGAGGCGTGTCAACCCAGATAGCATACGAAGTCCCCAAAACTGTAAGCTTTGCCTCCTCACAGCAGGTTATTATCTGTACAAATTTCCTTCTTTTGATTTGGTTTCATTTAACATGTCTCCATCCATTTTTGTTTTGTTTTCTGAGTCTGAACACGCCTTTACTGTGCTTGCTGAGGTACCTCTGCTCAACCCAGGAGAAGGAGACAGGAGGAAGCCAAGGCAAACCTCCCTAAGCCGTTTGTGTTTGGTCATTGAAGTCAGCTGGTTTGTTTTCTGAACTTACACGGAGTTTTTCTTTGATATACGGGCCAATCACATGCTTGAATTTTGTTTCTATTTTCTCTTCAGTTCTTTTTCTCATCAGGGATTGAAAAACTTAAAATAACATCAGATAACTTGATATGATTAGGGAAAATACATTTTTTAACAGTTCAGATAGCTTTCGACTTTTACAGAAAGGACTGAGGTTTGTATTCACTGCTGCCACTTTTCTGAACTTGGGTTTGCTGTCTGTTCTCCATCCCTTAGAGCTCTCAGTCGCTGAGAGCAGTTTCCCAAGAGGCTGGTGGCCTCGTGCAGAGAGCAGCAGAAGGGTTTCCAGATATATTCCTGTTGCTACATGTCTTTATCACTCTGTTTCCATTCTGCTGTAAATTAATACCAAAGCCCGGTCCCCTCTACTTTCACCCAGTGTACTGTCAGAGTTAAAAACACTGGTGCTGGACAAGAAGCCTAGGCTGCATCGTCATCCTGTGCTCACTAGTTATGTGACCTTATGCAAGTAACTTAACTTCTCTGAGCTGGTTTCCATCTATGAATGTGAATGCAGGTACCTCTAACTAGAGTTATCATCAGGTTTAAAGGACATAGTGCATGTATCTAACGCATTGCTGGCCACCTAGTGTTCGCCCAAAAATGACATATTTATTAAATTCCTTAGAAGAGTGCTCTGTAAATTCAAATATTACAATCAGTGTTTCCTACTTCCTATCTAGACATGCTTCTAGAAACTTACACTCGGTAAAAAGTCATGTCATTCTCTTCAGAATAGAGTAAAAAATATATAAAAGCAAGCTTGAAAAATACAAATCAGTATTAACAATGTCCTAATGATGAATCATCTAAAGAAATAGTTATCATTTTGGTTTTACTTCTTTTCATTCTTTTTTCTCTTTTTTCATTGTTTTTGTAAATGTGGTTATAATCTTACTGTTTATGCAGTTTTGTGCCCTTTATTTAACAGCGAATACTAAGTATCTTCTTTCATGAACTTGATTAGTATAAGTTATAAACCCTCCTGGGAGTTGTACATTTAGATGATGTCCAGCTTTTTCTGTCCCAGAATTGCAAAGGACATTTGTGTAGAGAGACTTGTCAATGTTTAGGATTACTTCCGAAACATAGGATTCCTTAAATAGATTTACTAGGTTAGCAGAAATGAACTATGTTACTATCTTTTTCAAAAGTTGTAATACCATACATGGGCAATGCATCTGAAATCTCTTAAATCAGAATTGTCATTAGAAGGGACACTTAAAAGGAAATACAGAAGCAGAAATTTTTGCTTCATTTAGATGAGAATATTTTAGATCCTTATTTTTAAAGGAGGTGATTGTTTTTGTATTGCTTAAAATATTAACATTTGTTATCTTTCGTCGTCAGGAAGAAGTAGCTAAGAACTTGCTGGCTGAATTTAACCTTGGATGTGATGTTCACCAGACTGAGCATGTGTACCGAGTCTATGTGGCCACATTTCTTGGGTTTGGTGGCAATGCTGCTCGACAGAGATATGAAGACAAGATATTTGCCAACACGTTTCAAAAGAACAGGTAAAGCACCTTTTTTTTTTAATGTATTTTATTGAGTTTTTTACAGAGAGGAAGGGAGAGGGATAGAGAGCCAGAAACATCGACGAGAGAGAATCATCGATCAGCCGCCTCCTACACACAGCCTACTAGGGATGTGCCTGCAACCAAGGTGCATGCCCTTGACCGGAATCGAACCTGGGACCTTTCAGTCAGCAGGCCAACACTCTATTCACTGAGCCAAACCGGTTTCAGCTAAAGCACCTTTCATTGCTCAGCAGGCATGTTCAAATCCAGGTCTCTCCTCCTAGAAAACATACGAGGCAAAGCAGGAAGACCTCGATCAACAGAAGCCTGTCAGCACTGTTAGCTTTTTATTCCTCTGCCGGCTGAGTGGGAGAGGAAGTGAAAGGATACCAGGGTCCTGCCTTTAGCCTGACATCATTCCACCCGGCTCCAGAGGTGGCTGGGCTGTCCCTCAGACCCACTCCACTGCTGGAGGATAATTTTACTCTTAGCATGTTAGTAGTTCTGAGCCCTGGGTAATGCTTCCAGATTGCACAGCCCTTGGGAAGCTCAGCACCAGCCCCATGGCAGCTTCCCTGGAGCCTGCAGGAAGTGTGATAAAGTTGTCACTGGTGATAAAATTGAATTATGTGATATTCTGACAACCAGCCTGTGCACTTATTTAGTGGATAAGACCATAGTGAAGGAAGTTATGCAAGAGAAAGAAATGATCTAGGAGTCCAAGTTAGTGGTTTTAAACACATCAGTGAAACTTTTTAAAACAAGTTTCTGAAGAATTCTGATATATAGAATATGTAAAATAAATAAAAGCAACATTATAGGTTTACATTTATTTTAAAAGTTTATATAACTATTTCTTTGAAAGTAGTCCATAAAAACAGAAAAGCCATTGGATGGATAAAAATACCTGAAATGGGAGGTCAAGTAAAATATCCTATTAATTACTATTTTGTTTTCTTCTTTTTTTTTTTTAAATATATTTTATTGATTTTTGTACAGAGAGGAAGGGAGAGAGATAGTCAGAAACATCAATGAGAGAGAGTCATCGATCAGCTGCCTCTTGCACACCCCCACCTGGGGATATGCCCGCAACCAAGGTACATGCCCTTGACCGGAATCGCACCCGGGACTTTTCAATCCCCAAGCCGACGCTCTATCCACTGAGCCAAACCTGTTTCGGCTGTTTTCTTCTTTTTAATGAAACAATTTTGAGGGGGAAATTCTTATTCATAGAGATAAATGATAGTGTATTTCCTTGATCAGTTTAATCTTAAACCTGTGGAGGCCTGAACTTTAAGGAAGACCAAGAAGTCAGAGCCATTTGATACCAAATTTTTCAGAAATTCATATTTGTGACTAGAAAAGGACAAAAAAACTTGTTCTTTGCTCCAGACGTTAATTAAATAGTGTTATCAAGAGATTGGTAGTCCCATTGTTTCTTTTTTAAGGTAGCATATTTTATAGCACATCTTAGTATAATTATTTTTTACAAACGTCTTAAAATAGAAATATTTCGTAAGTGGCATTTGAATCAGAACTTTGGAAAAATACCTTCTTCTGCAATCCTAATGTTTACTATTGGTTTAATGTCAACAAACTTGTATAATGGACATTTGAGTGGTACCTTTAATTTAGATGAAGGGCAAGCAACTAAAACAGCATGAAGTATACATTTGACTAATCTTAGACTTTTATAATAATTATAAATGGTAGTCAACACTTTTTATATATGTTATGAATTTGAGCCTTGAAATATTTATCTCCTTGCCATTAGTAGTGATGATTGATTTTTTAATTAGTAGCAAAGACCTTAATGTATTACATTCAAGTGCATTTTGAGTTCTGATCTTGGGAATAAACAACTTGTCAGTTGAGTAAACACTTGATTACTGTCACTGACTGAATACTGAATCAGGCACTCTCCTGGTAGCTAGACACCCTGTAGTCCCTGTGATTTCCTGGTATCAGACACTAACATAACTCCAGTGTTGGAAGCTCTTCCCTGTTTCTCAGATGCCTCACAGTGAGTACACGTAGCAGGAGGACAGATCGTGATACCTGGGAATTTCATTGACAAGTTAGGAAGCATAGTGCAGTTTGGTGAGCAAAGTTAAGATTTTTCTGTGGAGCTTCCCAGAGCCTGTAACACAATAGAAATGCTCTTATATGCAACACTTTAGGTCAGTAGTTGATTAATTTTTTAAAAATCAGTTAAAACAATTATAAAAATAGAATCAAACCTCAAGCATTTTGCTTTAGCATACGTGTATATTTGCCAACCTTTTGCCCTGGACTCAAGTGTTGTGCACTGCCCTCCCTCAGCTCGATATCATTTTGACTTTCTTTAAAGAATACCAGGAACTAAAAGACATTTTTGAAGACTTTGATACCAAATCTGTCTAGATATTTTCTCCTTTTTCTAAATTATTCTTAAATCTTGCTAACACCTAATTTGACAGCAGTTTTCTAACAACTTGCCTTTATCATATTTTTCTAAGACATCTAACCTAGTTTTCACAGGATACATTTTCACTTGTTACCTTTTTTCAGTTATATTTCATCTTTATATAATAAAAAGTCACAAGTGCTAGTGCAGAAATGGGGCTGTGAACATAGGAGTGGGCGGAGCTTATGGACCATAAGCACTCGGGTGGGGACTCCAGGCTGTGCAGAAAATGGAAGGCATTGGGTCACATGACCAGGTAGTTGTTTCACTGGACTCTGTGAAGGTGTCTGCCATACAGAAGCGTGTCTTGTCTCATAAGGTGGGGCTCAGCTGTGTCTTCCCCTCACCTAATGATCCTGGAACCCTCTATGTTCCACAGAACACATTTTGAGAGGCACTGGCCCTGAGCCACTTTCTTCAGAACACAGTTTTCTGTCCGCCTCATGATAAAGTTTTTCTTTGTTCCATAGGCTCCTGGGGAAGCAGACTGGTCTAGCTCCTGACACTCCATACCTGGACCCCTGTTTACCCCTAGACATTAAAGATGAAATCCAGCAAAATGGGCAGACCATGTACCTGCGGGGAACGGGAGACTTCGACCTGTGCCGAGAGACTCTCCAGCCTTTCATGAACAAAACAAACGAGACACAGACTTCCCTCAATGGGGTCTACCAGCCCCCCATCCACTTCCAGAACAGCGAGTTCTATGGCTTTTCTGAATTCTACTATTGCACTGAAGACGTGTTACGAATGGGAGGAGACTACAATGCGGTTGCGTTTACTAAAGCTGCAAAGGTAACCTTCAGGGAAAGCATTTTCTGTGTGCTTTGAGAGACTGGTGTAGACAGTGGCAGGTCACGTCCTCCTTTACAATTGGAGGCCCAGGCCCAGGTCGAGAGAAGGGAAAGGTGGGGGATGTCATTGGGAATTGGGTGAGAGAAATAGTCACAGCAGGAGCAACACTCACATCTGCCCCCACTCTATGAACTAGTTTGCTCTCAGTGGCTCCCAGATTACAGCCCTTCACACTGGTGTATCATAGTGGAATTATTATATCATCTGACAGGACTCCATGCAGCCTTCCTACTTCCATTCTCTTGTTATCCCTTTCTTTCTAACAGTTCCTTTAGCTCTTTCATGGGTTCCCCCTTCACGCCCTTAAATCTTGCTGACCCCAAACATGCACTCTTGACTTTCTGACCCTCAAGTTCTTGGGTGGTCTCATCCATGCTCATGATTTGCTGTTGTCTCTCAAGAATAGGCTGCAGTCCTGACCCCCACCTCGTGCCTGCTAGATGTCACGACCCCAAATACATCTACCATTTTTTCCCAACCCAACCCCTGTTATGGTCTCAGCTAATGGCATCACTAACCATCCATTCTCTTCCCAGAAAACCCAGGACTTGTAGACTCCCCTGTCACTTGTTCATCCCTCGCTGAACACCCCTGTATAATCAAGCATGTTACTTGGTGTCATAGATATTTCTCAGAGCCCACGCTGCATTCTGTTCTACTATCGTCCTCATCCCAGACTGTCAGTCACCTGCACTATTGCGGGAGCCTCCCAGTTGGCCTTCTTGCATCTGGTCTTCATCATTCATCTTCCAGCCACTCCCAGAGTGTTCTGTTAAAACACAGTGCCTCACTTGCCCTGTTAAAGCCCACAGCAGCTTCCTTTCCTTCCAGGATACATTTCAGATCCCTTAGCATATCATCCCCACCCTGTAGAGTCATCTCCCCACCGAGCTCTTTAAACTCTGATCGCAGCAGACAGCTGTTGGTTTCCCTCACGAGTGCTACTTCCCGTTTCATCTTCATCAAGGTGGTTCCTGTGCCTGAGATGCCTGTCCTTACCCTCTCACTGCAGGCTGAGTGCTGTTCTCCATGTGCCCTGTTGCAAGTTGCTCAGCTTCTCTGAGTCTCAGTTTCTTCGTCCTTCAAATTAGAATAGTAGCCTTGTTGAGGAGTCACTTTAAGATTTACATCTAGGAAAGGTACTTACACAGTGCTCTATACATGGAAGCTATTAATATGATTACAGCTAGCTCCAGAGAAAGGTGGCACCTCTTTCCCTTCTCTGGAAGATGCAGTCCTTTTGTAAGCATTTTTGTGTTCCCAGAATCTCGTGGGAGAGACTGTCTCTTTAACAGTAACTTTGGCAGAATTTTAAGACCAGGAACAAGCACTCTGCTAATCAGTAGTGTTACTGCGTGTCTGTGTCCTTAGTCGTCTTGGTATACACATATAAGTGAGGCTTCTGTTCTAATTGGAAGGATATGCTTATTATGAATAAGAATTTGATAAACTTTTTTTAATGAAACAAATTTTGAATAAACCTTTACTGATGATTGATTTTGGGTAAAATTTCTTTCAGGATTATTGTGCAACAAAGTGGTCGATCTTACGAGAGCGCTTTGACCGAGGACTGTATGCCTCTCACGCGGACCTCCACAGGCTAAAGTAAGTCATGGACGGCCAAGCCCAGAGCGTGTTTAGAAACAGCACATTCAACTGGGCCCCTAGCTCGCTGCACCCGACCCAGCCATCTGTCTATCTTTGTCAAGCACTGTTTCTCCTCTTCTGGCCTGGCCTTTCAGTCATGATGACACTACTTGTGCCCAAACATATATTGCTCCAGATGTATTTTTGCTCACTTTTGCTGCACTTGGCACCTGGATTCTCCTCTTCGGCCTTGGCTGTTGAAGTCCTGCCCAGACACCAGTCAGAGTGGGCATTGTCCCTTTTGAGTCTCCCTTTCAGCTAGACTCCCTTCTTCCCTCTGGGTTTCCAGAGCACTCATTATGTCTCTCTAGTGGTGTTTACCATTTCTGCTTTGTTAATAGTTATTTGTTGCTTTAAAAACATCTTTTCATTATAAGTTGTTTAAGTACATTGACTATCTTATTACTTGTTATTATCTATACTATATACCGTATTTTCCAGTGTATAAGACGCCCCCTAATTTTACAGTTAAAACATAGGTTTAGGCCTATATTCACTGTATAAGACTACCCCCCACTTCAAAGAAAAGACTTACTTTGCCGTCAAGATCTGCAGGTAATTTTTGTGCAATTTTGGTCTTTTGCCCCCGATTTTCGGTTGACTTTTTTTTTTTGTTTCAAAGGTCATCTTATACGCCGGAAAATACGGTATATAAAAGGCTAAGCAGCCAGCCGACTGGCCAATAGGTGTGACACTCACTGACCACCAAGGGGCAGACGCTCAACGCAGTTGCTGCAGAGCTGCAATGACTTGGCAGTGGTGGTTCTCTCTCGGGTGATGCACCGCAGACCCAGAGAGGAGGGAGCCTATTTCTCCATGCAGTTTCACCTTTGGCTGTGGCTTAATGTTGTTACTGGGGTACTGTCGGCCCCAAACCTGGTTTACTGCACACTTGCTTTTGCGTTCCATAACCTGTAGGACAGCAACTTTGCAGAGTGCCCTCTCGCACTCTGGGACCTCTCGGAGGATGTTGGAGAGCCATTTTTGGCGATCCCCTCAGGCTATGCCAAGGGACCTTATCTGCTGGGGGGACCCTGCTCACTCCGTAGACGCCCTTCGAGCCATGTTGCTGCCCCAGGTGCAGCTGGCTGGGAAGGGACCATAGGAGGTTGGCTCCAGGGCATGTCTGGCCCATCTCACCCAGTCCTGCCCCCCTGGCCAACTTCAATTAATTTCCTTTCAATGTGCACAAATCTGTGCACCGGGCCACTAGTCTAATAACTTGCTTAGCCCACTGCTTTGCAAAAAATAAGCCTCTGATAAATAGTTAGAATCATAGAATAACAGGGAAAAGGACCTTCCTCTTTTCATTTTATAATAAAGAAAATGAGGCCTAAGAAGTTGGAACTTGCTCAGCATTTATTTAATGAATAAGATCTGGAATGCCAAAGGAAAAATTGCATCACCCAATGTACTGAATTCTCCTGAGCCATGTTTCATAAGCTGGTTGATTTGCCAGATAAACTGTTTTGTGTTGTGGGACAGGTACATAGACTACGTCAATCACCTTGAAATGCAAGCGACTGGTGTGGCTGCACAGAGCACTGGCCTCGTGAAGCCATCAGCCATGTTGGTCCCACGGGGGAAGACTGTCTGTGTACAGTTTATTTTGACAAGTGAGTCAGTCCCACTTCTGTGTGTGCTTGGTGTTGGCAGGTACCAGTGCTTCAAGTCTGCCTGGATGTTCGAGGTGTTTCACAGGGGCTTCTCCTTTCCTGTCAACTATAAAACCCTAAAGACAGCCTTGCAGGTTTATGACAAGGAGGTGCAGTGGACCCTTGGAGCAATCCTCTACAGGACCCGCTTTTTACCCTTAAGGTATGGATGCTTTTTCATACGCAAGATGCTTTTCTCTTTTGCAATCATTATGGCAGCTGTGGTTTGTGAATGTCTGGGTACTCTTGTTAGCACTGACCGGGGGCAGAATTGCAGACTGTTGAGTTTGACTTTGCTCCACTTCACCCCCAGTCCTTCCCTTGCTCCTCTCCATCCCTTCATGTGCAGCACAGGGTTTGATTATTCTCAAGTGTCAGCTCCCCAACCCCTGCACAGAGGGTCAGATCTAGGTTCTTAACATTTATGGCCTTGAGCCCTTCTCAAAATAATGTTTTTAGTGTATAACATTAATATGTAGGTTACAGAGGAAACCATTGTGTTGAAATATATTTATCAAGATATTATAGAAAATAAGTTTATAATATAGTAATCTGTGTTCTTTATAAAAAATATAAAATTATGAGGTCTGACAACAGAAATGGTACCTTCTGTAATTTCAGTGTAGTGACCTAGGGTCGTATTTTAAGGCATCTGCAGAGCACCACAGTGTGAACTAGAGACCTGTGAGTTTCACCAGGAACAAATCACAGGTCCTGCTGCTATTACAGTAGTTTGCTGGCTACTTCCTGTCCAGTGGACACTACATTAGTTGGAGGTGGGTAAAGAAAGATGTGTGCTTTTCCCATACAGGCTCACAGACAGACTCTCTCAGTAGACCTTACAGATCCCTGGTTCACTGATAAATGAGGTCTTAGCTTTCTCAGTTCCCCCACCCTCCCCCTTCATTTCTTTGAGCATCTGCAGGCAATACTTGATGCGGGGCCAACTGCAGAAGTTGTGAGTAGTGGGTATTACTGATCAGAAATATGGTTTGACTCCACATTGCCTTCCACGTACAGTGAAACCCTCACAGTTCTAAATGTCTCTGATTTTTATTATAACCAAATTATGATGAGTACACTTTTCACATGTATCTCATTAATACTTGCAAGTGCCCTCTATTAGGCCATATTATCTTACATTTTAGAGGTAAGGAAATTGAGTCTCAAGGTTAGTTTGTGTCTGCAGAGCTGTCTTGACTGTGCCCCTCTAAGCCACGTCCTGTGCACTGTTAGTCACATTACTGCCCGATTAGTCCTCGGTGACCTCTCACGGTTGATGGTTTTTGTTTCCGTGTGGGCAGAGATATCCAGCAGGAGGCCTTCCGGGCCAGTCACGCTCACTGGCGGGGCTTCTCCTTCGTCTACAACCACTACCTGTTCTCCGGCTGCTTCCTGGTGGTCCTGCTCTCCATCCTCCTCTACCTGCTGCGGCTCCGGCGCATCCACAGGCGGACGCGCAGTGGGGCCGCCGCCGCCCTCTGGCTGGAGGAGGGCCTTCCGGCCCAGAAGATTGCGGGAACCTTATGAACCTTATGAACCTTATGAACCTTATGAACCTTATGAACGGGAACAGGAGTTGGAGGCCCAGGAAGACCTTCTAAAGGAAAAGCCATTTTTGCCTCAGGGTTTCGTCTCAATTCTTGTTTTATTTTTCCCTTCCCTTTTTGGTCCTTGAAACAAAAACAAAATCCATTGTGTGTAAACTGCTGTCCTAGAAGATTGCATTTACCCTGTTTTGTACACAGCTTTAAATTGAGGAGTAGGGAAAAGGGAAAGTCACTTCGTATAGGACATCTGCCAAAAATTACGGAGATTTTTGGTTTTTCTTTAAGGTATGTTTAATTTTAAACAGATGCACTTTGATAGTGGAGGGAAATGGCAAAGGTGTTTTCTATGGTGAAGATGGGACTGAAGAGTGAGACTTGCAGAACCCAAGACCTACCGAGTGAAATTAAAATGCTTTTCCCTCTGTCCTGAAAGCTCTAACCTAAAGAGGATGCTGTTTAGTTTTTATTTATTGTTTAGGTCTGTCACTGTGTTTTCTTTGCAGGTTCAAAAAGTCAAAACCTAAAATAGAGAAATATAATATCCAAAATGGAGAAAACTAGTTACCAAGAGGTAACTATTTTTAAAATTGGTAGTGAAGAGACCTGAAAAATGTGAAGTAATTACTAAGAATATTGTGTGTATGTGTGTTTGTGTGTGCAAAATTCTAAGGAAAGTGAATGAGGAATACTGTGTTCTTTTAGAAACACTCTAAAATTTACTGTTTTATTTTATTTAGAAAAAAAATCCCCATTACTATTATCTTTCCTGACCATAAATAATTACTTTCTTTATCCCATTTTCCAGTGGCCTTAGAATACCAGGGCTTTGAAAGAGTTGGAAAATTTGTAGTTTCACTGGTTTTGATTGTACTAGAACTTGAGCTGGTGCCAACTGACAGGTACGCCAGTATTTTTTATATAAACACACACACGTATATGTATGTGTATGTGTATATGTATATGTATATGTGTATTTATGTACACTGAGTGGCCAGATTATTGTGATCTCTGAACACATAATAATCTGGCCACTCAGTGTGTGTGTGTGTGTGTGTGTGTGTGTGTGTGTGTGTGTGTTTTATTGACTTTAGAGAGGAAGAGAGGAAGAGAAGCATCAATGATGAAAGAGAATCATTGATTGGCTGCCTCCTACACTTTCCCTACTGAGGGTCTTGCCTACAACCTGGGTATGTGCCCTCACCTGGAATCAAACTATGACTCCCTGATTCATCGGTCGGCATTCAGCCACTGAGCAACACCAGCTGGGCATGCCAGCATTTCTTAATAGTGCATCTTTGCTTATTTAATTGTGCTTACATTTATTCCAACCTAAGTTGCTATTTTCCCCCTTAATTAAACATTGTCTCTGCAGTTTTTTCTGAAGACTCCATATTTAGCTTAATAAGTTCTCTTTATTACTATTGGGGTTAAGGCTGCATTGGCAATGCCACTATAAAGCCACATTTTGAAGAAAACAAGTCTGATACTTTAAATAGAAATCTAAAAAAGACAACTGGATTGGCGTACGTGAGATCAGGTTGTTGTTTGTTTTTGTTTTGTTTTGTTTTTTGTTTTTTACCTATTTGTTGAGTTCGGAACCATTGGGAATGCTTAGATTTTTTTTAGTTGAAGTTCATGTGTGCGTGCATGCGTGTGCCTGCCGTTTAACCCAGAAGAGTTATACTGTAAATCTGTCTAGTTGGTACCAGATGTATATTTTTAGAACTATCAGCTGCTTTAAAAAAAAAATCACTGATTAGAGAAAGAATTGAGATTCTGAGTGGGATTTTTATCTTGTTTATTTATTACTTAAAATCATAGCATACTGTATATTGATGATTTTAAAAGATTAAGATTTGTGAAAGAAATGCAGATTCTCTTATTATGTTCCGCAAAATGAATGTCCTGACAAGGGAAAAATTATTGGTAGAATACAGTCAAACCTCGTTTCTAGAACATCTTCCATCTTCAACAATTTGGTTGTCAATCAGGTTGTTCACAGAAAGAAAGTCTCTATTGTTGTTGAACCAAACTTCTACCTGACAACCCTTTTGTGCTGATACCTCAGTGTGGCAAAAAGCATATCTCAGGCAACAAAGGAGGGAATGCTTTTGTTGCTGGCAAAATCAATGACTAGCACAATTTTGAAACATAAAGAGGCCATCAAGAGTGCTAATGTTGCTAAGGTTGTGAAAGAAACAATGATCACAGACAATTAAGAGGTAGAAGGAAAGCAGTTAGCAGTGACAGCATTTGGGAGGCAAAGATGCTGCATGCTGACCTGAAAGACACCCTGGACAAGTCCTGAAAGTGATTCCTTTACAGCTAGGAGTGGGTAGTTCAACAAATTAAAAAAAAAAGTGTTTATTAATACATTAAATTACATTAGCATATACTGTATATAAGAAGGGTTTTTAAATGAATCATGTGGGGGTCTGGAACAGATTAATTCCATTTACATTATTTCTACTGAGAAAAATGATTTGGTTTTCAAATTGCTTCTCAAACAGCCCTATGGAACGAATTAAGTTCAAGAACCGAGGTTCCACTGTATTTGCTTCTCAGATGTTCAGAAGATGGGAGGGACTATGTGGTATTACAGCAGCTAATGTGGACAGGATCTTATTTCAGAGTGGATGGAGATAATTTCCCCCCAGAAGGAGCCAGCTCAGAAATGCTAGTCTCCAGATAATGAATCCTTGGTCCCTGGTAAGCCCTGTTCTTATCGGAACCCCACCACAAGCAAGCTTGTGGAGGTAGAATGAGCTGGCCTGTGTCTCCTCGATTTCTTAGTTGGGTTTGCTCTAAGGCTGGGGCTGGCATTAGTGCTGAAGAAGTAAGTTTACACTGGAGCTTTTCTCCACTAACCATTTGGAATAGTAAGGCCCAAAACTGAAGCATAAAGAATTTAAATGCCTAGCATACTTGACCTGCTTTGTACCCGGCTCAGGATCCCTGTGCAAGGAGCCACCTCACTCACTGAAAGAAATCCCCAAATCAGGGTTCCCAGGCCCAGACAGCCTTAGACTTGGCACAACTCAGTGCCCATGCTCCCTGCCGGAGAGCTCCCTGAACAGAGCTTGACAGCTTGTTGCCCATGGGGAAAATCTGGAAGGCCCTTGAACTGAGACTGTGATTCAATTTTCAAAGGGAAGTTAAGACACACAAAAAAGTTAAGAGTATGCAACGAAGACTCTGTGGCCTATAGAGCCTAAAATGCTGACTGACTGTCCTGTCCCTTTACTGTCCCTGCATGAGCAGTCACATTTAAGAAAGGACACAGAATTCCCCTTAATTTAGGGGTCACCATTCCTGGGCACAAAAATGATGGGCAAGACAAGTGAACAAACTTCAATTTAAAAATATGTGTTTATGCATCAGACTTTAATTTCTTAACCTTTCTTCTAGGTTATTTTCAAGATCATTTTTCTAATAAACCATGAATCATGTCCCGCCTCCCTCCCACACGTAAAAAGTGCTATTTGGGAGTGCTCACTGCTGTACTGGAATATCTCCAATCACAAGATCTCACCTCGTTCTCACCACCTTATACCACAGGGTAGAAGACAGCCAGGTGCTTTCTCCGTGGTGCAGGGATGGGTTGCTGTGAGAGGCAAGCGGTGGGGAACTTAATTTGGGGGAAGAATTAATATCACTTAGGGCCAGCCAAGAAGGCTGTAAACTCTGAATACTTGACATTGAAAGAGAAATAGGTTAGGTGGGTACTTGCTAGAAGCTTTGCCAAAGGAAGACATTCTGTGTTCAGTCTTGGCAGCAGCCATTACAGTAACACTCGGTTCCACTGTCATACTGTGTGTGCTCCTGTGTCATACTGTGTGCTGCTCCTGTGGTCATACTGTGTGCTGCTCCTGTGAAGACCCCAGAGGCTGTTCTCAAGGTTTTACAGTCCATCTAAGGAAATCACAGTAAAAGTATGAACATAACTTTTTGTACAGTACCAGTGGTTTTTGCACATTTCACCCCCTCTTCCTGCCTTTAGGCCGCACCCCCCAACCTGGGGGTAAACCGAAGAGGCTGCTGGTGGCTCAGCCTGGCCACCTTGGAGGCCGAGATCACTTGTTCACCACCTGTTGTCCACACCTGTGCACTCAGGTTGGAAAGCTCTAGATTCACAGATATTCAAATTTTAAACTTGGGCCTTACATAGAGTGGTTTTCCTTATAAGAAGTGTGCATCTCAGCAAGGAACTCAAAAAGGCAAATGTGTTTTCCAAGCTTTAAAAAAAAGAAATCAGCTTTAGGATTTTGTGTGAAAATGTGCAATTCAGCAGAACCACCTGTAAGTAAATTATTTGGTTATTTCTATTTCAGTGTTTTCTGTTTTATGATACTGATTTTCCCTTTCAATAATAAATGATGTGACCAACCAAGGAGAAATCTTTATTCTGTTATAAGATTATTTTTACAGTTAGGAATTACAAAAAGAATAATGGATCATAAATGTGTTTTCCTTTTGGAATAAGAGGAATTCTCTCTGGGGGATTCTTGTGGTGTATCATTTCCATTCATAGTAACCTCACTGGCCACACTTGCACTTGAGTTGGTGTTGAGAATCAAACTGGAAGTCCACCAATGGCCCACAGACTTGTGTGAGCTTGCTTCCTTGTGATTTAACTAGATTTTTCTGGCCTTTGAATCTTGTTACCTGTTGCAATGCTTAGTTGAACTTGATTCTAAATTCAGTAAAATAAATTATCTGAATCTGAGGGCGCTTGTGCTTTTCTGTGTCCAGTGTGCGTGTGGTGAAGTGTCCAAGTGCATTGTGGAGAGAGGGGTCTGTGTGTCCAGGGCCACAGCAACCAAACGCCACAAGAAGTATTTACCAAGGGGAACAGCACTAAGCCATTCTTAGCAATAAAGGCCACAGCTAGACCACAGTGTCTGAGGTATTTGTTGTTAATCCTCACCCCTGAGGATATTTTCCTTTGGTGGTTAGAATGGAAGGGAGGGGGAGAGACAGAGTAAAACATTGATATGAGAGAGAGACACCATTTGGTTGCCTCCTGCACACACCCTGACCAGGGCTGGGGATTGAACTTGCAACTGGTATGTGCCCTTGCCCGAAAATGAACCCTGGACCACAGGTGACACTGAACCACACTGGCGAGGGCATATCTGAATTACTTTAAGTACCTATTGCCCGGCTGATGTAGCTCAGTGATTGAGCATCAACCTATGAATCAGGAAGTCACAATTTGATTCCCAGTCAGGGCACATGCCCAAGTTGTGGATTTGATCCCCAATAGGGGGCATGCAGGAGGCAGCCTATCAATGATTCATCATTGATGTTTCTATCTCCCTCTTCCTCTCAAATCAATAAAATTATATATATATATATATATATATATATATATATATATATATATATATATATATATATATATATATATATATATGTATATGTATTGGGTCGGCAGCTAAGTAATTGCGGATTTTTAAAAAAATCAAAATTTTTTCATGGAACTAAATAACTTTATTCTGTAATGTATTGCCCATTTTGATCAATGACCTCTTGCCATCTTTCAGGCAGCATCATAATCCCACGTTCAAAAAACTTCTGGTTTTTATTAGCAAAAAACTGAATCAGGTACGATTTGACATCATCATCATTATTGAAATTTTTACTATTCAAGGAGTTTTGTAAAGATCGAAACAAAAAGTAATCAGATGGTGCAAGGTCAGGACTATATGGTGGATGTGGCAAAACATCCCAACCAAGCTCCATTAATTTTTGCCGAGTGATCAAAGATGTGTGTGGCCTTGCATTGTCATGATGGAATACAACACCTTTTCGATTTGTCAATTCGGGCTGCTTTTCTTCAACTGCATTGTTTAATTTCGTTAGTTGTTCAATGTAGACATCAGAATTGATCGTTCGGTTGGGTGGTAAGAGTTCAAAGTAGACAATTCCTTTGTAATCCCACCAAACTGATAACAAAACCTTCTTTTGATGAATATCAGCTTTTGATGTTATTTGAGTTGGTTCACCTGGCCTGCTCCACATCTTTTCCGCTTGATATTGTTGTAAACAACCCATTTTTCATCGCCAGTTATCAGTCGTTTTAAAAATGGATCATTTTCATTACGTTTCTTTAGCAAATCGCAGCTGCTAATGCGTTGCGTTAACTGTGATTCTTTCAATTTCGCGAGGAACCCATGTATCGAGTTTTTGAACATAGCCAAGTTGTTCTAAGTGATTTTCAATGCATGTATGTGATACATGAAGCTTCTCTGCAATCTCACGTGTTGTACTGTGACAGTCCGAATTGATTATTGCTTTGATTAGGGCGTCATCAACTTCAACTGGACGACCAGAGCGTTTTTCATCTTTGAGTGAAAAATCACCAGAACGAAATTTGGCAAACCAATTTTGACACTGCCGTTCTTTTAAGGCTTCGTCACCATAAACAGCACATAACTTTTTATGAGCTTGTGATGCGTTTTTCCCTTTGCGGAAATAAAAAAGCAAAATATGATGAAAATGTTCCTTTTGATTTTCCATTTTTCAACGAACGCCAAACGAAAACTACAAAACAGATCAAAAAACTTTTTTTACTGATTAACAGCTGAATAGCCAACTATCAAATAACAAAACGTGTTTTACATTTGTACTACGTCTGCAAACCTAAAAATTCAACTGAAGCCATATATGTGTGAAACCAGCAATTACTTAGTTGCCGACCCAATATATATATATATATATATATATATATATATATATATATATATATATTTTTTTTTTTTTTTTTTTTTTTTTTTTTTTTTTAATGCTGAAACCAGCCGAAACCGGTTTGGCTCAGTGGTAGAGCATCGGTCTGCGGACTGAAAGGTCCCAAGTTCAATTCCGGTCAAGGGCATGTACCTTGGTTGCGGGCACATCCCCGGTGGGGGGTGTGCAAGAGGCAACCGGTCGATGTTTCTCTCTCATCGACGTTTCTAGCTCTCTATCTCTCTCCCTTCCTCTCTGTAAAGAAATCAATAAAATATATTTTTAAAAAATATATAAATAAAACAATGCTGAAACAGGTTTGGCTCAGTGGTAGAGCATCGGTCTGCAGACTGAAGGGTCCCAGGTTCGATTCCTGTCAGGGGCATGTACATTGGTTGTGGGCACATCCCCAGTAGGGGGTGTGCAAGAGGCAGCTGGTCGATGTTCCTCACTCATCGACATTTCTAGCTCTCTCCCTTCCTCTCTATAAAATATCAATAAAATACATTAAAAATATATATTTTAAAACAATACTTAGTAACTATGTAAAGATAAGAAGTGAACTGATTAATGTACTTTCTCTGATAGTAAAAACAGGCGCCGACTTTATGTTTCATCATTTTGCATAACCAAGCTAAGCTTAAAGCCACTAGCTTATTTCCAGAGAAGAGAAATTTGAATCTTATTAATGTTGCTAATAACTCTTAGAAGCTAAAGCTTTTTTTCAGCTGTTTTGAGAATAAATAGAGGTTTTCCTCGTGGACTAAGGTGGGGCTGAAAATAGATGATGGAGACAGATGGAAAGGGAAGGGGACCAGCTGTTAAGAACAACAAAAATAAAAGCCCAAGAAGTGTGAGGGGAGGGGCAGGCAGACAGTGGGAGAGCAGAGAGGAGTGCTCAGGAAGTAAAAATAAAAAGCTACTGCACAGCAAAAGAAACCATCAACAAAACAACAAGAAAGCCCACTGCATGAGAGAACATATTTGCCAATGTTATCACTGATAAGGGTTTAATCTCCAATATTTACAGGGAACTAATACAATTTAACAAAAGGAAGATCAACAACTCAATCAAAAAATGGGCAAAGGACCTAAATAGATACTTTTAAAAATATATATTTTTTTTTTTTTTTTTTTTTTTTTTTTTTTTTTTTTTTTTTTTTTACAGAGAGGAAGGGAGAGGGATAGAGAGTTGGAAACATCAATGAGAGAGAATCATTGATTAGCTGCCTCCTGCACACCCCCTACTGAGGATATGCCCATGACAGGAATTGAATTGGACCCTTCAGTCTGCAAGACGATGCTCTATCCACTGAGCCAAACCAGCCAGGTCTAAAGAGATATTTTTCAAAAGAGAACATAAGGAAGGCCAAGAGACATATGAAAGCATGCTCAAAATCACTAATCCCAAGAGATGCAAATTAAAACGACAATGCCATACCATCTCACACCTGTCAGAATGGCTGTCATCAGCAAATCAACAAATGACAAGTGCTGGCAAGGATGCAGAGAAAAAGGAACCCTGGTGCACTGCTGGTGGGAATGCAGACTGGTGCAGCCACTGTGGAGAACAGTATGGAGTTTCCTCAAAAAACTAAAAATGGAACTCCCATTTGACCCAGTGATCCCACCTCTAGGAATATATCCCAAGAAACTAGAAATACCAATCAGAATGGATATATGCACCCCTATGTTCATAGCACAATTCACCACAGCTAAGATTTGAAGTCTTAAGTGCCCATTTTAGGCTTTAATCCAGATGAGTGGATTAGAAAACTGTGGTATGTCTACACAATTGAAAATTATGCTGTGGTTGAAGAAGAAGAAGAAGAAGAAGAAGAAGAAGAAGAAGAAGAAGAAGAAGAAGAAGAAGGAGGAGGAGGAGGAGGAGGAGGAGGAGGAGGAGGAAGGAGGAAGAGGAAGGAAGAAGGAAGGCTTAGAAGTAAGGAAGGAAGAGTAGGAATGCCGGAGTAAGGAGGCGCAGGCCGTCAGCAAGAATCAACAGAAGACGGCAAACCAAACGAAGCAAACACTGGTCCGCCTCACGTTTCATCGGCCGCCTCTTAGTCTTCTTCTTACGTCTTCTTCCCCGCCCCTCTCCTCCCTCACTCATCCCTCCTCGCAGCCTCCCTTCTTACCATTTCACGTCCGATCCTTCTTTCGAGCATCATGCTAAGTGAAATAAGCCAGTCAGAGAAAAATAAATATCACATGATCTCACTCATTTGTAGAATATAATGAACAACATAATCTGATGAACAAAAACATCCAGAGACAGAGAAGCATCCATCAGACTGTCAAACCTCAGAGGGAAGGTAGGGGAGGATGGGGTAAGGAGAAGAGATCAACCAAAGGACTTGTATGCATGCATATAAGCCTAACCCAGTGGTCGGCAAACTGTGGCTCTCGAGCCCCCTTGAGTGTGGCTCTTCTACAAAATACCATGTACAGGTGCATGTACAGTGCGATTGAAACTTCATGGCCCAGGTGCAGAAATCTGTTTTCAGCTCTTAAATTTCAATTGTTGTACTGTTGATATGAGTGTGGGCGGGGGGAGGGGGGGCAGTGGGGAGATAAATACACATATGTAATACCTTAATAAAGAAAAATAAATGGAGAAAAAAAATCGAGAAGTGAAAGCGAGAACGTGGCTCATAGTCACTTTGATGGGATCTGGGGAGTAATAACTAAATGTACAACCTCTATTTTAAAAAAGAGAAATAACCGAGAAAGCCAGAAAAATGCAAATGAAATTCAAGAGCCATGACCTATGGTCCTCAGAATTGCCGAACTTAAAGTGCTGACAGTGCTGTGGGGACAACACTTAGGTATTGCCGATGGCCATGTAACCCCCACGGGCACTCTGGAAAGCAGAGCAGCAATCTGACGTTAGCCATGCATGTGTCCAAGGGCCAGTGTTCCCCTGAGAAATGCCCACCTGGGTCCGTGAGAGGACTGCAGAAGGATGCTCTCCATGGTGCTGTTGGAGTTACTGTG